GGAAGGATGGGGGGAGGGGAAGTGAAGGATCAGGCAGGAAGGGAAGGATGGGGGGAGGGGAAGTGAAGGATAAGGCAGGAAGGGAAGGATGGGGGGAGGGGAAGTGAAGGATGAGGCAGGAAGGGGTCAATAGTGAGATCTGATGAACCCCAGGCTATGTGCAGAGAATAGGGGAGTATTACTGAAGACAGCGCCACCCTCGTTGATCCCTAAACTCTGCACGTACTGACCCCCCCCCATTATACATATTGTGGGTGCCGCACAGGAACTCACATCCGTCACCCCGGAGGGATCACAATCTCTATATAGAAAGAGACCTCCCTCCCCATTATGATGTATAAGAGAACACCAATCAGTTACACACCAACATTACGAGGAAGTCCCCCAGCCTATCCCTGCACGGGGCCAATATTGCCCCTCCCCCAGTATGAGGCTGATGGATGAGGAAGGATGACACCCCAGATTCACCACTAACACTAGTGATCGGCAGCTGCTTTCCCAGCAGAGGGGTCTGCCATATTATGTTCAGCCAGTTTTGTGATCCGGATATTGCTGCCAGCCTGAGCTGCCTGAAACATGTCAGTAGAGCCCCTCCCTATGAGCTTCGGTAGCTTGCGATGGAAAGTATTTAGACTCCTCCTCCTCGCCCGGTGTGTACAGCCCTAAGCTACATGTGGCCGCTCTGGGCGGGGCTGATGAGCTCTTTAACATCTGGCAGGTCACGTGCTGGCGGGGCGGCGCTCAACGTTCTAGACCCCAATAGGGCGGGGTCGAGAGTTTCCTAACAGTAGTGCTGAGGGGGCGTGGTGCTCACTGCACTGCCGGTAACGATTGGTGAGTGATGGTGTAGTGGGCGGGGCCTCTCATGTGCCTGGAAAGGCGTGTCCCGTCTTATCTTGTTTATAAGCAAAAAAAGTAGAAGGGGCGGTGTCTCTGCCAAGCTGCCACTGATTGGTGTTGTTGGGTGCAGGGGGCGGGTCCACCTATGAGCACTCCGCATAGCGTTTGGCTGACAGTCAGCTGGTGCAGCTCTGATTGGCTGAGCGGGGAGAGAGGTCTCTGATTGGCTGAGCGGGGAGAGAGATCTCTGATTGGCTGAGTGGTGGAGAGTAACGGGGCCGCTGCTGGGAGAAGAGAACCAGAGAGACCCCCGAGAGAGACGGAGAGGATGAGAGAGACCGGGGGGAAGGTGAGAGACTTATCATCCTCATCCTCTGTATTAACCACATACACACAGAGACAGGCCGGGGAGGGGGAGCAACCCCATCTTCATCCTCTGTATTCACCATATACACCCCGGGGGGAACCGTTATCTTCATCCTCAGTGTTCCCAATATACACACAGGGGGAGGGCCTCACCCTCTATTGTCCAAATAACACAGAGAGGCCTGGGAGAGAGAGCACTGTCATCCCCATCCTCTGTATCCCACCATGTGTACAAAGAGGATGAGGGAGGTTGAGGAATGTCCCC